CCCTGTAAAATTGGTCATTTTTAGGTCAAATTTTACACAGTGTGTTCTTTATGTGCTTTCTTCTAGTACTTTCTATTTTTTGTTAATAACTAGGCCACTGCTGCTAAAATCTCTACTAAAAGTGGGCACATCTTTGTGATAACAAATAGAAGCCTGTAAAGTTGTGACAACTTAAATTCTGCCAAGTTATGAGGGCTTTGCCTGAGACCTGGATGACAGAGTTGTGTAAGAATGTGGGGTTCCTCTGAAGACTATTGACCTTTCTGAGAATAAAGATCTTATTTGTCTCTATTACATAGGGTTAAAGCAGGGACACGGTGGTCGCTAAGGCACATAGGAGGCTCTGAGAACGGAAAATGAGATCTCTCCAAACTGGAATGTAAATCTCCATTTCTGTATTTAGGATCCCTCTGAGAGTAAGCAGAGGTTCACAGAAGGATACAGATCACTAAGAGAAATAAATAATGGGAAACACAGGTTTATAGCATTTAGAAGAAAATACCAAGATGAACATATTAATATCTAAAGTGAGTTTTGATGAAAACAATTAAAAAAATTTTTTTAAACTCAAAATGTAAATATCAGGACCGTGTGACTTACTTTTACTTCTACCAAATAATAAAATAAAGACTGGCAGTCCTGGGCACACACTTCCAGAGAGTACACAGAGCAAACACAGCCGTAGTGGTTTATCGTTTTAGGAGAATCTTGATTCCACTCCTGCAATAATAGACTTGACTGGAAAGGGGAAGGACAGAAACATTCCTCTGAATGTAGAACCCAAAATCTGAAAACAAATGTTAGTGATCTAGAGTCGGACTTAAAAAAACAATAGTGGTATTTTATGAGAGGACTTTCATAGGGCTCACGAGAGAGAATCAATGGCATTTTGACTAGTGAAGGATTGGGAGAAGAGGCAGAGCCACTGGGTTAATGGAAGGGACATCTGGAGACAGAGGGAAAGGGGGATCAGAGTGAACCTGAATGAGAGTCCTGGGGCAGAGTTTCCAGGCTATGGCTCTGGAGGGGCCTTTTTTTTTTTTTTTGAGACAGAGTCTCGCTCTGTCGCCCAGGCTGGAGTGCAGTGGCCGGATCTCGGCTCACTGCAAGCTCCGCCTCCCAGGTTTACGCCATTCTCCTGCCTCAGCCTCCCGGGTAGCTGGGACTACAGGCGCCCACCACCACGCCCGGCTAATGTTTTGTATTTTTAGTACAGACAGGGTATCACCATGTTAACCAGGATGGTCTTGATCTCCTGACCTCGTGATCCGCCCACCTTGGCCTCCCAAAGTGCTGGGATTACAGGCGTGAGCCACCGCGCCCCACCAGAGGGGTCTTTCTGAGAGGAGATAGGACTGTCCTCTGCCACAGCAAGGTCAAGGAATGAATGTGGAGTTTGTAAAATAGAAAGTGATCTTTGATGAGGAAAGAATGAGCTGATAAGGGGCACATGCCATGCTGGTGCACGTGCTGCCCATTCTTAGCCACATCTTGTTCCAGGTGGCTCAGATCGGCAGTCAAGGAGAAAGTGGGAGTGGCAGACTACATTCATTAAACCACCAAAGCACCAGCCCAGATGGCCACGTTTTCAGTTAATTCGCGTTAGGTACTTATTGAGGTTTGATAAGTAGGAGAGAAGTTGTTACCCGCAGAAGCAGCTTGTGATAGATGTCTTGCATAAGGCCTGAGCAGTCTTGGAGACAGGCAGACACTGGCCCCTCACTGTGGTCACTGGAGGAAACAGTTACTGAGAGACAGCTGACAGGGTGAAGGGAGTGGGGGAGGAAGGCCGCGCATTTGTGCTTCCAAAGGTCCCACAGATGACATCCTTTAAAAACAACTGTGTCATATTTGGGGTGGACGATTTGAAAGGCAGAGGAAAACAATGTTTTATAATTAGGGACCTGTCTTCATCTCAGGCAACTCTTCCTGAGCACAAACTCTGTCTTTCCACACACCTTGGAATAAAAGGATTGGAGAAAGAGAGTGAAGGGGTCCCTCTGATCAGTGGTCCAGGGCATGATACAGAGGTCTCAGTTGTTCAGGAATCTCTGTCTCTGGGGAAGCAAATTCATTTCCCCCCCCCGCCCCGATCCTTCACTCATTGGAATGGGATTCTGCAAATCACTCACCATCTCTAAGTGATACTCAGTGCCCCCCACTGGAAAATCTGAGCGGCGGCCCCTCCTCTGCCCACCCTGCCGGGCTGATGTGGGGATTCCCGGAGATAATAGCAGATGTCCTCCAGAAGCTGTAAGGCATCACACCACGTAAAAGATGAACAGGGGCCCATCCTCCACTGGCCTGGAGCCACCCAAACAGCCTCTCCGTGTTCAGCCACTACTAAGTGTCCAGCTTATTCCTTCTGGCATTTAGTAAACCCTTACATATCACTACTGAAGTTCTGATTCTCTTTCTTAATATTCGCCTGCATGTAGTGATTTTTCTAGCCCCACACTGTGATATTAATAAGTAGGCCCTATGAACGTTTTAACATGACAGTGCAGAGATCTGAGGATCGAGGGATTGCGTGACCTTCCCAGGTCCACGTGTCTCTAGTGGACTGGGGTCCAGGCTCCCACTACACTAGCCCTCTGCCTTTCTGTATCGCCTCATCTATGTGAAGGCATCGCCCACACAGTCTTTCTAATCCACGTATAAAGTGCTCACTGAACTCCATGATCTTCCTGAGACCCAACTTTGATTCACATGACCCTGTTTGGAAGCCAGTAAACAATGGGATCAGAAGTTAGAACTCAGAACCAATGATCACAGTTCTCCCTCTGGTCTTTCTGTCAGTAACATATCAGTGGCTCTCTGCATTGCAAAAAGATTAACCGAGATCTTCTCTGATAGAGATTGTAAGAAGACACAGCGTCTACACCAAGAGGCACATGACGCAACCTGGACTCTGGGCAAACCACCGGATGCACCTACATGAAGGTACCGTGGAAATTTATTAAGTTGATTTAAGAATAACAATTGTGGGTTATATTCAGTGTCCCATATGTTAGAAGAAGCTACAGAGGAGGTTAAGCCATATGTTCAAATGTGGCAAAATTTTTACTTGCCTAGTCAAGAAGTATTGCTGAAATCACAAAATTAAATATACATTTAAAAGTCAATTTTGGTTCACATTTAATAGTAAGACAATCTTTCAAGCTAATGTCTAGACATTACTCAATTGTTGAACATTATTGTGAAGAGATCTCCCTAAAACAGTGGAGCTATAATTTTATGTTTCTTTAACCAAGAGAGTTTTAGATTGACATAAAAATCGAGCATGTAATACACAAAGTTCCCGTATCATTCCATTCTCTCACCCTACCTTATAATTCCACTTAATATTCCCATCTTACATTACTGTGTTACATTTGCTAAAATTAATGGGCAAATATTGATACTTTAGTATCTAAAGTCTACCATTCAGTGTTTTTTCCTGTTACACATTTCTATGAATTTTGAAATATTTACTATGTTGTTACCAGTTTGATCTCATAAAGAATACTGTCACGGCTCCAAAAATTCCCTCTTCTTTACTTATGAATCTGTCCTCGTCTCCAGAAACCTTGCCAACTATTGGTATTTTTACCATCCCCTTTGTTTTGCCTTTTCCAGAATGTCATATAGTTGGAGTCACATATTAGGTTGGCGCAAAAGTAATTGCGGTTTTTCCATTCTTTAAATGGCAAAAACCACAATTACTTTTGCACTAACCTAATATTATGTAGCTTTTTCAGCTGAACTTATTTCACTAATCAATATACTTAGTCACCCTGCTCTGTTGCCTTTCTATATGGTCTCATCTACGTGAAGCCATGCCCTCACAGTCTTTCTGATACATGCCGTTGTCTTTTCTATGCCTTGATGGAGAACTTTAAATCACAGAATAGTATTGTGTTTTATAGATGGTTGTTTTTTCATTCACCTCTTGAACATCTTGCTTCTAGTTTGGGTGGTTAGAGATAAAGCTGCTGTAAACATTCCTGTGCAGGTTTTGTGTGCACGTAACTTTTCATCTCAACTGAGTACATACCCAAGAGCACAATTTTTGGATTGTATTGTGAAAATATGTTGGGATTCATAAGAATTTGGTGGATTTCATAAGAGAAATCATTTGGTTCCGGTGTTGTCTTTTTTGGAATGTTCTTAATGTTAATTCACTTAATAGGCAGAGGCTGTTCAGATTGTGTATGTTCCTAGTGTGACCTTGGGAAGATTATGTCTCTCAAGGAATTGATACATTTCACCTAGGTTATCAAACTGTGGGAATAGAGTCATTCATAACAGTCCCTGATTATCCATTTAATGATCAACAGTTTGGTAGACATGGCCCCTCTTTTATTTCTGATATTAGTAATGTGTGTTATCTTTTTTTGCTTTGTTAGCCTGCACAGATATTAATTTTAACAATTACAATTAATAATTACAATAACTAATTGGGGGCAATTATCATTGTTAATGTAGATGAACGCACATCCAGGAAAATGCTACCTACACTGAGCAATGATGGCGACAACTTGTCTTTTCAGTTCTGGATAGGACATAGGCGTTTATCCAGCTCTCTGTTCAAATACACACACGCCCACACACACACACACACACACACTCATGCTTTTACTGTGAATGAAATCTAGTGCACTCCTATCATTTGGAAAATCACATGATCCATTAGGTGATATCCAAATGTTTATTTGCCTCATAACTTCTTTAACTTAAACATTAATTTGAACTTACAGAAATAAAAAACCATTTGGAAATTGATCCCAGAATACAGGGCGTTTCTATAGGAAACAAGATGTGAACATAAGACTCAATGAGTTGGCTGGTGGCAATAATACTTAGAATTCAATAATCTAACCAAATTAGATTAAATACAGATTATAGAAATGTCCCATATTTTTTTCCTATGACTTTGTATAATGCTTTTACCAAGTAGAAAGTTCCTAAGTCTACCCACCCAAGTAATTTTCTGACCCTGTTTTCTTTGCAGTGGGGGCCTATCTGGCCTCCCCAGGATGGACCGGAGTATCAGTCGTGCCTGAGTTCATCACAGGACAGCTACTCAAGACACCCTGATCACCATTAGGTGGAATTGAAGGAGTCAAAAACAGGCGCAGTAGCTCCTCAGCAGAGACTCTCCTGAATGTATAGACATGGGAACCACCTTTCGCATCAAAAAAGGAAACGTTCTGCATGCCTATTTCAAGAAAAATCTCCACTCGCTGTAACTTGCGGTCTACAAAGAGGAAAGTCGACGGCACCGTGCTGGCAGAGAGGCGGCCTCCAGCCCTCAAACTCACAGTCCAGAATCCACGCTCTGTGGTCAGCTGGACCCTCCCTTTGCGGTGAACAGATTCTCTGCAGACTCCCAGGTCCCATTCTGTGCTTGTTCCCACGTCCACCTCCCAGTAGTGGCGGCCACAGGTAAAGCGAGAGGAGCCCAGGACACAAATGGACAAGTCAAATCTCTTGGCAAGGTCTTGCCGATTCTGTCTGATGCACCCACTTCGGACGCTCCTGAGGTCGTCGGAAATGAGGAGGAAGTTGTTGGCTGTGTTGGCATCCGAGGTCATATCCACTGTGAAAAGGAAAAAAGTTGCTCAGCAAATGGACAGAAGCCAACCCCATGCCTCTCCTCTATTTCCAAGACCCAAATATCTCTTGACTTTAGTTTAATTCTGTTCCTTCCTCCAAAATCAAAACTTTTCATGAGAAATCTTCCCTACTTCAAATTCTCATAGGTATGCTTTGTGGCAATATGTGACTCTTATTCCCAGTAGCAATTCTTATTTTACTTTATGTCACATGTTTGCTTCATTGGACTTTTCTTCATTTAGAGTAGAGGGTCTCTGAAGGCAGACACCATGACCCCCTTTCTACCAACTTGATGCATGAACAAATAAATAATAATTAAGACAATGCAAGTGGTCAATATTAAATATGTTTCTGCTTCCACAAGTTACTACTCCAATTCAGTATACAGAGCATGATTTCAGGCTTTTGTTATTTTCCATGTTTGTAAACAAATTAATTGTACCCAGTTCTGCCAGCAGATAGAATATCTCTGCAACTGACGATGTGATGACAGAAGTGCCAGTACTGGACATTAGGAGGCTCCAAGGCCAGGAGGAGGTGGGGGGCCTTAGATGAAAGAATGTTTTCCATCCTACATGGGAGGTGAGACCTTAAGCAAAGCTATGGTAAATTTTGGAGCCAAGAGAAAGGTATTTGAAAGCTGTTTGTCATAACCGACTGATTGTAGAGAATAAGAGCAGCAAATACAAAGGTCAATAATGTAAGGCATTGGGTATGTGGTTGACAGGTGAAGCCGCCAGTTCTCATGGAGGAGGCCATGTGATATGGCCTAGAGAAAATTAATTGTCCAGAGCATTCTGAAAAAATTTCTACAAAACGTATTATCCTTTAAGTCAAAAGGCTGATATGATCACTAATATAGGTTTTATAGATTACAGTAAGACTTGCGGGGATTGATTGCTGTTTAATGGTGAATTAGGGAATAGACATGGACAAGGAAGGAGGAAGAGGGTTCCAAACATGACTTGGCCAGGGTGAATGTGTCCTCCGTATTTCAGCAGAGAGACAGTCAGCTACTGATAGGTGGAGGAGTAGAGATTGTGTCAGGGCAGAAGCTACCAGTGTTGGGGACATCACAGGGGCCCACCACCATTTATAGGTGTAATTCTTTGCTCAGGCTGACCATAACCTCTTCATTTAAATGTCCCTTTTCTCCAGAGTTATGGAGACTTTTAGTGTTTTCTGTAGCCAGGACCACTGAGCATTTCCTCTAAATTTCATTCCTTGGACTCCAGTCTGCACCCAACTGCCCAGTGGGCCCTCTCAAGGGCCAGGATGGGGACCACATCTGGCAACCCTGAGAGAGGCTGTGGGAGATGGCCTGAGCGAGCTCTGCACCAAGGAGGGGCCCCCACCAATGCCATTCGGGAAGGAGTGACTCTGGTGCTAAGAGAAGAGAGAAGACGCTCTTAGGGTAGGGAGGTGTTGGTCTGTGGTCAGCGCTTGGAGGCTGAGGCCCCCAGGTCCCAACCCTACCTTGCTCCAAAGGCCAAGCAGGCAGGATCCGAAGAATCTGGGGGTTTCCCTCTGCCCCTGACTCACCTGGGCTGAGTGACAGAGTCAGACTGGACAGTACTGCCCAGAGCCCTGGTGCCTGCTGCACAGGCTGGGAAGAGTACCCTGCATCCGCTTGTGTGCTCAGCTGGGGACTCCAGGCTCCATGTGCGAGCAATGTGGGCAGGGGAGCTGTACAGAGCAGCCCCAGTGCCCACACTGGCAAGGGCGTCCCCCTCTGGATGAGCTGTGGGGACCAGATCATCCGTTGCTGGGAAGGAAGCTTCTGCTCTCCTGCTGTCTCAGCTCAGGGGTAAGTGGCATTTAACAGTCCCACAGTGACAGCCCTGGGGCCACTGTGGGCTGCTGTAATCTCCAGAGCCGAGTTCCACGAGATGAGTGGCGGGGAGGCTCCCTTAGGAGGAGATGTCAGCAGGTGAGGGTTGATGTGGGCTGGGAAGACCGAGGCAGGGAGCTTCATGTGAACCCTACAAGTTTGAGGCCCCTGGGAAGGCACCTGAGGCTTCTGGAGACTCAAGTCAGGGGAGCCAATTTGTGCTCTTGATCCCTGTCCACACCTGGTGCTGCGCTGAAGGCTTGGGCCATATCCCAACAGCGGTGGGAAGGAAGCCTTCTTCTCAGGAGACCTTGATTAGCATTCCCAGGAGAGGTATCTGGGGTCACAGGGAGTCATGTCTGGGGCAGCCAGCTTGACATATCATCCAGCTTCGTGCCCCTTGGCCACTCCCCTGCCACCGTACCTCACGGAGGGCTCAGCAGGAAGAGCTCTTTCATTACTTTCCATTTTCATTTGTGTTCCCTTCCATTTACATGATTTGGGTTTGTTCTGTCGTGGTGTTGTGGCGTGTTGCTCTTTTTTCTTTTTCTTTTCTTTTTTCTTTCTAAAATATTGCTTATTTATAGTTTTAAAATTTGTTTTGTGCAGGCCGGGCGCGGTGGCTCACGTAATCCCAGCACTTTGGGAGGCCGAGACGGGCGGATCATGAGGTCAGGAGATCGAGACCATCCTGGCTAACACGGTGAAACCCCCTCTCTACTAAAAATACAAAAATTAGCCGGGCGCGGTGGCGGGCTCCTGTAGTCCCAGCTACTCGGGAGACTGAGGCAGGAGAATGGCGTGAACCTGGGAGGCGGAGCTTGCAGTAAGTGGAGATCACGCCACTGCACTCCAGCCTAGGTGACAGAGCGAGACTCCGTCTCAAAAAAAAAAAAAAAAATTGTTTTGTAATACATGTCCAAAATTAGGGGGCGCAGTGGGATTTTTTCCTATTTGTATACACTGAGGAATGATGAAATCAGGGTGTTCCTCACATCTGTTCCCATATCTAGTTTTTATTTCTATGTGTTGTAAACCTTCATTGTCCTTCTTTCTAGCTCTACTGAAAAAGAGGCTGCCATATTGGTACCACCAGTCACCCTGCTGTGGAGTGCCTCAGCAGAATTCATCCCTTCTCTGGAACCGCAGCTCTGCACCCACTACCAATGACTACCCCTTCCCTCTCCTCCCTGCTGCCTCTGCTAACCACTATTGTACCTTCACTTTCAATTAGTTACTTTGCTTTAGCTTCCACATGATTTAGATGATACAGTGTTTGTCTTTCTCTGCCTAGCTGACTCAGTTTATGACTTCCAGGATCATCCCGGGTTGCTGTAAATGACATCAAGCCATGAATTTTTAAGGATGAGGCATCTTTCATTGTGTCTGTGTGCTGAAGTTCCTTCATTGTTCTGTCAGTTGATGGACAGGTTAGGTTGATTTCATACCTTGGCTCTTGGGAGTAGTGCTTCCCTAAACCTGGGAAGGCAACTATTGCTTCAGTATACTGATTTCATTTTCATGAAGTGTGTACTCACTATTGAAATTTCTAGATAAAATGGTAGTTTCTTCAATATACTGATTTCATTTTCATTAAGCATATACTCACTATTGGAATTTCTAGATGAAATGGTAGTTTCTTTTTTGGTTATATTCTAATTACAGTATGTGGTATCTGATTGTGATTTTTATTTGCAGTCTTGAGATGACTAATGATGTTAAGAACCAATTTTTTTTTACCTGGTAGTGAATTTTTTTTACCTGGTAGTGGATTTTTTTTAACCTGTTACTGGATTTAATATCACTTTCTTTTCTATGACATGAGGCCCCAATTCACCCCACAGGCAAAGCTGGTCTGTCAAGAGCCCAGACAGAGGAACACAGAACAGAGCGAGTCTGGAGGACCCACATACACCTGGCAGACAGACAAAAGAGTCTCAAGAGGTCACCATTTGAATGCCCTGCCTCTGGGGTCAGAGGTGAAGGGGTCACAGTGACCAGCTGAGGCATACAGAGGTCTAAATAGGGAGAGGAGAGGTCAGCCTCTCAGAACCAAGGTCCAGAAGGAAACCCAGGCCACAGACTGTGAGAAGTCACAGAAAAAGATCAAAACCAGCAAAAAAAAAAAAAAAAAAAAAAAACCTTGACAAGAGCAAGGAAGGAAGGGGAAGAAGGGACTCGCCTAGGACAGTCAGCTTGGTCTGTCTGCTGAACATCAAACACTGTGACACAGGCTCATATAAAAACGACTCCCTAGGACCCCCTATGCCCCCCTCCCCAGCCCCCAGCAGCAGTTGTGATGCAGGAAAGTTGAACCACTGACTCCGGCAGGCATTTGCTCAGCAAGGTGTCCACACCCCTGCCTGCCCTTCTCAAGCTGAGATGAGACAGTCAGCCTCACACACGCAATGACAGGACATCTGGAAATGCAGAGGCCCAGGGAAGTTCGTGTCTGGATCAGGTTTTCCCTTTGACTGTGGCCCAGGAATGGGAATGGGCTCCTGGGAGGGCGTTTGCTTCCCTAAGGAGGGAAGTGGCGTGGAAAGGGACAGGGATTCTCTACATTATAGGGTTGTTGTAACCCTGATCTCTTGGTGTGACCTCAAAGTAAGAGCAGGGAGGCATCCTCAGGTGTCCCCAGTGCCCCAGAGAAGGGACAGCTTGGCCCAGAGTCAGCAGCCATGGGAAAGTCCAATCTGACCACACAGCCACAATTCCAGGGGTCTCCCTTCCATCCTCTCTGGTGTGTTAGTTTGGGATGGGTCTCGCCAGGTGCTAGTAAGAAATTCCAGCCTCAACCTCCAGGGAGAAGTTGGAAGCAAGACCCTGTCACCCTCGCAGGGTCTCGTGTCCATTTTGAGTGTCTGACCCAAAAGCAGCCCAAGTGTGATCTCTAAATCCCGCTTCCCACTTTAAGGAACCAGTACACTCAGGGTTAATGGGCAACTTTAGATACGAAGCAGGAGAAAGTTGCGCCCAGGACAGATTGTGAACAGAGAACAGAAAGTCCAGGCCTACCGGGTTCTCTCAGGAGGATCCTGGGGCCACCAGAAGAGGAACAGTGGGTCATTGTCATCAGAATCAGGGAGGGCATAAGATCTGCCTGGCCTGAGCAAGATGCCGTGTGGGGCTCCAGGCCACAGTGGAGTATGGAGGGAAGGAGTGACCAGGTGAGGAAGGGCCTCTTTGGATGATGCCTCAGATAGATGAGAGCCTCTCCTGGAGGTTGCAAATTGAACATGAGATAAAAAATAATGAGATGGAACAGGATTTCCAATTGACAATATTTATTGAGGGTTACTGGGATGCAGGGAGAGGGGCTGGATGCCTTGGAATGAGAGAGGAGACCCCTGCCCTGGGATCCTGCAGCTCCCAGGTCCCTGTGGATGGGGTGAGGGTCGGGGGCCTGAGTGCATTCTGCAGGGACCACTGTCAACTCCACAGTGGTCCCTTCATGCGTGACCTGGCAGCTGTAGCTTCTGCGGGACCTCCATTGGTCAGGTATCAGACTCAGGTAGCTGCTGGCTGTGTACTTCCTGTTGTTCTATTTGGAGGGCTTGATGGTCTTCATGCCCTGGGGGATGGGGGTGCCATCTGCCTTCCGGGCCACCATCACAGCACCTGAGGAGAAGTCACTGATGAGACACACCAGTGTGACCTTGTTGTCTTGGAGCTCCTCAGAGGAGGGCAGAAACAGAGTGGCTGTGTGGATGGCCTTGGGCTATCCTGTGGGGTGTGTAGAGTGTCCTGCACTGGAACTGGGAGACCTGGCCCTGAATCCCTCAGAACAGAGGAGTCAGGTCACAGATCTCCCCAGCATAGACCACACCAGAGGATCTAGGGGTCTAAATGGGAGAGGAGTTTCTTGATAGCATTCCTGTGCCATTTTCGTGACTGGTTGTGCTTGGTGTGGTTCTTGGACTTGGCCATGTCTGCACCTTCGGGAGCTATGCCTCCTGAAGCACCTGGAACCTGAAGGAGAAAAAAAGTCTTATGTCAATCCACAATAGAGTGGATACGTTGTAATATGTGACTACATATTGACGGCATTGACTATGTGACTAGTATGCAACAAGGAAATGAAAGAACTACAGTTACATTTAAGAACATGAATGAATTTCAAAATTAATGTGAGCAAAAAAGCCAGGCATGAAGAAATGCATGTTGATTTATTCTATGTATAATAGTCCAAACCTGGAGAAGTCTAAACAATTCATTAGCAGTCAGAGTAGTGACCTTAAGGAAGAAGTAGATTTGAAGGTTGCAGAGAAATTTCAGGGAGGAACCAAGGTTGTCTTCATTTCACAGGGGAGCTCCATCTCACCCTCTCTGATGTTTGCTTCTAGACCCTGATATTGATTGAGGGTCTCTAATAAAGAAGGTGCTGGAGATGCCTAGGTGGTCGGGGGGGGTCTCACGAGGAAAAGCAAAATGATAGGCAGCATCAAACTCAAGAGTTCTGAGTCTAATGAAGTGCCCCAGACTGGATAGAGGGTGCCCACTTAGTTTTATATCTCATTATGTAAAATGAGGATCCTCTAAAGATAACAATGTCATCTGTAGCATGGACACACTTCTGTGCTATCCGCACATTTTATCACGTAGAGCTTCCTGCATAAGTCTTAGCAATCTGTGAATAAAAAGACTAGAACCTAAGTTGTAAATACCAACTTAGACAACAAATGAAGCCTAACTTTAGAAGACGGGAACTAGTGTAATGCCATCTTCTGTGGGAAGTAACTCTTGGCTTTCCCAAAAATTAGAGAACTGAAGAGAAAGAAGCCTCATCTCAGAATCTGTGGTAGGGATGGGAAGTGGAGGTTGGAAATGTGCTCAAGGTCAAACTTCTCCCCTGCTTTCCCAGAGGACTGGAGCTTTACCAGTGAGGCCGGAGTGAATATTCACTCTGCAATCCATCCATGGAAAAT